ACGTCGTGCCACGACGGCGCAGCAGGTCGGGAAGTCGTAATGAGCCGTCGTGGGAAACGGGGGGAGAGAGAGAACGACAACGTCCTCCTCGTTCTCCTTCTCCTTCTTTTCTTCCTCTTTGCTCGCTGCCGGTTCTCGCTTCCAGAAGCGCGGGAAAGAAAGAAAGCGAGGAGACGAGCGCACGCGCGACGCGTCCGGTCGTCGCCGCGTTTGCCGCTTTTCTCGCTCTACCGCATCGCCGCGATGCACCTGCGTCTCCTCGAAGAAGCCCAATTCCGTTTGTCTAGAGATAAACGTGAAAATCGGGGCAGCAGGTGTTGGTTATACACGCGGTGAATATAGACGGGAAAAGCATTTTCGGAACGTATATGCGTGTATTCTCGGTTTTCTCAGTTTCTCGGTAATATAAATAACTGGTTTCTCTGTTTGGAGCAAAACAATTTTAGAAATTGAATAACAGTTACGCAAGAGAACGGTCAGTACTACTAGCCAATTGTGTGAAATATGTTAGCTCTTTTCCAATTTTTTTTTTGTTTTAGAAATTCATAAAGTTGTCGAACGCATGTGCGCGCACTTTACAATTTTGTTGAAATTGAAAATGTTTGCCGATGACGTGTAAATTTTTTACGCGCTAACTAAAAAAGTATGTTGTAATTATTTTGTGACATACAGCGCGGAATGATTCTCGTAGAATAAAACTTTCGCGAAACACCTTCGCGAATGAGCACAGACAGGTGATGCGCATCGTGTGCGACTATTTACTACCGTACCGGTACTTTCATTCATTTATTTGTAAACGTCTGTTTGAAGTTGAATCTGCGCGGATGTAACGACGTGACAAAAATAAAAGATGGAAGAGTCGTCGCGTGTAATAAGAAATATACAAAAAGAGTATTGATTGCACATATTGGATTTATCTGATCGGTATTTTTACAAGAAACGAAGCGATTAACGAATAAAGCTAAATTGGCAATTTATACATTCGGGAGAAAACTCGCTGTATATATATATATATATGTATATATATATGTGCACATAGTACAAATCAGATATTTTCAGACTTTACGACTCACCGTAATTTCCAAATGGATATAGTCATTCGAGGCGATGACGCTAAGTATAAGCGATACATCAGCCTGTATAAGCGAAAATCTATTTGATCGTCGACGTTGATGAACGCGTTGTAAGCGGCAACGTGTATGACCGTATACACCGCTGAGCTATTCGAGCGCGCGGCAAGACGCGCAGAGGTACTCAAACTTTAGGCGAATATCCGTATTAGAGCAGCAGTCTCTTTGGTGTCTCTTACGTTGCCACTTCGATAAAAAAAAAAAAAAAAACACTTTTTCAATTTCACTTCGACGATACGTGTTTCAATGCATATATTTCTCTGACACGCAAATTGCGGTAAAATGCGCTTTAACTGTTATACAATCTCTTTGATTTTTATCGCGCGCGTAATTTTCCTTACGTGCGTTAAAGTGAACAGTTGCAGCGTATATTTGTGTCTACTTAGAGGTATCTCATTTCCCCCGCGAAATACGTTGGCGTATTTTTTTCCCGCGTACGGTCAATTAAGACACACAGACGGATGCGGAAGTAGCATGAAAACTAAGATCGATTTGTCGTTCGCAAACGTTGCGGTTCTCTGAGCGCGGTTTGAGAACCCTGGCCCGCCGGTAACAGCCCGGCAATTCCGTCGTGCGACATTGGCCACACCGCAGTTGCGGTACCAACGTCGCTGAAGACCCATAGCGCACGATTACGCCGCTGCCGCCTCGCTTTAAGAGAAGTAATAGCAATTTCTATCACAGGCAGCCGCAAGAAGTATGCCGATCGCGCTACAATGTAGTTTTACTCACGCCGGAGGCGGATGAGCGCGCGTTACCGGATATCGCATTTGCCTGTCGGGTCAGAGAGGGCAGAAGCCCGCGATTATAACCGCGCAGGAAATCGAGTCTGCGAGAAAAATGACCGCTACGCGAAATTCCGCGTCGGGTCGCCCGGCGGATGATAACGTCGGGGATAGAGGTGAGGTTGAGAACGGGAAAACGGTTAAGTAAGAATCGCTCGCGCGGTTGGAATCGTAAAATCTTACCGATCCACGGGAAATCGTTCTGTTGTCGGCGCACTCGATGTCATTAACGAGTCGTTAATTTTTTTTTTTTTTTTTTTTTTTACGACATTAGAGACCTAATGTCGCTGTAAAACTCCCGGAGAAATCTGTCGTGTTGCGCGCGGGAATTTGAAACGATGTGCCAAGAAAAAATAAGAGCGAGCAAGAAATCTTTATCCGTGTATTAGAGTCATTATTTTTTTTTTACGTATCATCAAGTCGGTTATAAATCGAATAGACGATGACGATGGGGATTGAAGTTCAGAGGCTTTGATTTAATTCAATTTGAGTAACGTTAAATTACGTCTTAAATTTGACTGACTTTAGGGTTACGTGTCACGACCTTGTGTTGAAGCGAACATCACGCGTGTGTGAGAAACTCGCCTGTCTCTCTCTCTCTTTTTCTCTTTCTTTATCTCTGATGAATACAAATTGTGTATTCATTTGTATCTCAACAATTTCGATAAAAAAAAATCCCGCGTCATTATCAAAGTTTTAATCGAAAACAGCAATTAACATAAGCTACTAAAAGTTGGGCCACATTCCATCGGCGAACTTATGGGTATGGTACACGGTGGTATCTCGAAGAAGATTCAAGAAACACAGCGGAGCATTCGGATCGCTGTTGTTCCTTTCCCCATTACGAGTGTTATTTACCGCCGAGTGCGCCGGTATTTCTGTCGACGGTTTTTGCACAATTGCCGCCGTTCGTTTCCATTCATCGCCTTTGAGCGAAATCTTCGTCTCGCGTGTGACGTGTTTTGCGGCGACAACTTTTGCAGAGAGAACGTGTGCGTTCCCGACACCTTTTTGATACGAAAAAATGTTAAGGTCCACTTGTGAAGCGACGATCATCTCCGGGAGGGTCCGGAGATGAGTAAAGGAGGCGTGTCGCGCACGTACGGACGAGTCGCCATGTTATATCCCTCACGAATAGGCTTCCATTGTACGTGGGCGCAATTCGACGGGAACGTAAGTCCCGTGCTTTTCAATCGCACCGCTATATCCGCAATGGAGTGACGCCTCTAAGTACGGACGGGAGGCTGGAACTGAGCTTTGAGACGTCGACACGGCGCTAAGCCGTTGCTCGAGTTGCCGACGCGTGCTCGCGTCTCCACGAGTCGATTATGTTAAATACCGCGGACAAGAGACGTAACTCCGCATTGTGTGATTGTTTCGAGCATGTGAAAAGATGGTCAGATAGAACACACCACTGTTGTTCCGTAGCAATTCTCCGTGAGAATTAAGGACACACAGAGCAAATAAACCGATAATGAACCGCAATGAACACGATACGATACAGTTAAGCGGTGATAAGAGAAAATTAACAAATTGCACAGTTTGTATGTGTATATACGTGCCTTACACAAGTGTGTGCGCACATATATACGCGTATCTGTAATTAAAAATAGTTAACGACCTCCTAGTTGTCAAGAGAGTTTAGCTTCTTTAAAATTGCCGTCAATTCAGCTGCAGGCTATCTGCAGGTTAATAGGATTCAATTTAACGGAGCATCGAATTTTGTATAATTTTTTTTATCTTCACGTAGACATGTTGTTGCTTTTTTCTATAATCTTGGAACGAATGATAAATCGTTTCTATTAGTTACGCTTTAATAGAGATCTAATTAATAACACGCGCATCTCCTGTTGAACATCTTACCATAAAAGATTACCTCTATTTTGACGATTAATCTCGCTTCAATCGATGGCTGACGATCGCGACACCTAAGATATATAAGTATCTACTTTGATTCCACAAAAACAAAAAGAGAAACGAAACTAAAATAAGTACTGTGTCCCTCGTGTATCACACGTATATAAGGCTTTAATTTTATCATGTTATCATATTTAATCTATTTTTTTATAGGCGTTAATATTAGCAATTAATTGTTCTGCTGATTTCTGATAAATGTAAATGTGAACCACAATTGTGAAGATTTTATGTAAAAAAGTTTTGACGTTAAATACTTAAAAAAACAAAAAAAACTCATCTCTGAAAAGAGATTTCAGAGAATGGGAATAAATGAAATTCAAGTCTAATAAATTCACTTCAACTCGCAAGGTCTAATTTAAATGTGGAGTTGCTTCCAAAACCGGATGTTATAAATTATATCTTTCGTTCTCATTACACGTATATCTCACAAACAGAAATAAATATCCATCTGTTTGGAATCAAAGTTAAGAACATGAACGTGTTATTAATTTTATTTGGTGCAAAAAAAACAAATATATAAACGATTGATAAAGTTTTTATCTTTTCTTGATGGTTTTCGCGAACGAAATTTCTTCTCAAGTGGCAATTAAGCGCAGCAGCAGAAACATCTTTATCTTGAACCGCCAACCGATAACCGGCAATGGATGTATATTCCGCACGATGAAGAAAGATGTGATGTGTCTTTTAGAATGTCGTTGTAGAAGTTGCTCTTCGCCAAGAACAGAGTGAAGCAAAGCGGAGCAGAGCAGAGTGACGTGCTCCGTTCGCTCGCTCGCTCGCTCGCTCGAGGGCCTGAGGCCCGTCGCGAGCACGCATACGCGGAACCGGGCCTCGCGTATTCCGACGTAGGCCCACGGCGAGAGGCGTCGGGCCCCGACACGCCGCACGTATTAGAAACGAATATAAATATATCGAGAGAGTAGCGGGACAGAGAGAGAAAGAGAGACGCGACAGATGGGCGAAGAGGGGGGAGTTTGCGCGCGTATTGGTAACGTTGGAGTTACACGCACCGACGCGACTCTCCTCGCTTGCTCGCTCGTTCGCTCCGTTCCTCCTTCCTCGCGCGCTCGCTTGCGAGCCCCTTGCCCGTGTCCTCCCTCTTCTCCTTTCCGCCCCGCACGGGGGCCCGCTGAGTCCCAGAGTATGCTCAGTGTCCGCTCGGCCTCAGCACGCCCCGTGCCGGCAGGACGAGAAACGGGATGTAACTTTTAGAAGTACGTGTAATGCGCGTCGCGCGTACTTCACGAAGTACTTCTGCGTCGTACTTCGGTATTTTCCGCGGATGGCCGCGTCCCTCGACGATGCGAGAAAATTTCGCACTCGGGTGCGCTCGATTAAAAACTGACGCGAGATCCGTCGTGACGACACCAACCCGCGCCACCCGGGTCGCGTCACAAGTGCTCCGAAAACAAGTGTCAAGATGTAATATAACGTGCTCCAAAGTTCATTTGAATTCGATAGTGAAATTTCATTGACAAGTAAAACGTGTGCGGTTGTCATCAGCGTGTGAATTTCCACGCGCAGTGCATCACAATTGCGTGGTTTAAGCCGTTGGTCGGGCCCTGGGATTCCGACACGCGAGCTGAAGCGCGATCGCTCCATCGCGTATCATCGGGCCCCGCCGATCGACCGCCTTTTGTGCCGCGCGATAGGTGTCGCATATTAAAACGTTAATCCGTGCTGTACTACCGGTTATACGTATACACAGAGATTTGTTCTCAACCCTCCGATCCGCTCGTCCTATCCTCTGCGTCCGTATTTTTTCTTTCTATTACGTTGCGCTCTTTCTTCTTCCCTTTATCTTTCGAACTTTATCTTCCCTCTCGTGCTCCTCATCGAGGAGCCGCTTTCGTCGGAGCGCACTCGATCTTCTCCCTTTCCGCCTTGTTCTCTCTCTGGTCATTCCCTCCTCCTGCCCTTTGCGCGTCGCGTACCTTTCTCTCTCATTCCCCTTCGCCACTTCAGGCCGCCCTTATTGCTCGAGACCGAGGCCGCGGCGAGTAGGTTCGCGTTTCGCGAGCGCGCGTGCCAATCGAGAAATGCTGAACGAGCGACGCGATGAATCCGATGCTGCCGGCGGCGGCGAGACGCTCGCGAGACGACGAGGATACACGACGACGGCATCGCGCGATTGAGTCCTCCATTCTCTCACCGCGGCAACGAGTCGCTCCGTTCGGCGACTCAATCGCCTCTCTATCTCTCGCGAGAAAGAGGTATATTTCGCGATACGTCTCTCGCCGTTCCGCGAGGAGGAACTCTTTTATTTCGATTTATATCGATCTCGTATCAATGCGAACGAAATGACATCTCTGAAGCACGTCGATGATGCGATGCCGACACATAATGTTCTTTCGCGTGCAGAACGATCGATATCGCGAGATAATGGCGGCAAAAACCTCAACAAAAGATGCATCGACAAACGGCAGACGTAATCGTCTCTATCATTATTGCGACTGACCGCCTCCTTCAAAAAAAGAAAAAAAAAAGAAGAAAAAAAAACACTTAACGAGAAATCTCGCTGAGTGAAATGTTCGAGTGAAATGAAAAGAGACGTCACTCGGAAGACGAGATAAAGTGTGCCGATTAGTGCTTATCGATCAAACGAAATTGACGTCGGGGAGGAGGATATCGTTGAGAGAAAGCGCGCTTACCTCTTATTAGCCTCTCTCCGATACACTTACCGAGCGAGTATCACCGCAAAAACAATTGCGCGAGAGAGGCCAAGGCGGTCTTCTTCGGCTTCTCCCATCACGGAGCTCTTCCAGGAAAGCCGGAATCTCAGGCTCCAGACGCAATCAAGAGCGTATACCACGACGAGAGGCATTTAATACGCTTACACTCCGCACACGAGGGTCTCCCCGCGGAGAACAAAAACCTCGGTGTCTCGAGTGCCTCGAAGCGTTGTCTTATTAGCTTTTGCAAGAGAGAGAGAGAGAGAGAGGACGACCGACGCGGTCGCGAAAAGGGTCATAATATACCGACGCGGAGGAAAGAAGAGAAGTGAGAGGGAGGAAAGGAAGAAGAGGACCCCGCCGGCGTTTCCTAGATTAGAAGGTCTTGCCACGGCGATTATTATCGTCGAGAGAGGGTACACCGTGAAGCCCAGGGTAGGAAGCAGAAGAACCGCCGGTGGAAATCGATCTTAACGACCGCCGTCCTCGTCGTCGGTCGGGTCCGGATGTTGTTGCCCGTTCGTGATCGTCCTCGTCGTCGGTCGCGCAAGAAGAACCATGTCGAGCTTAGCGCGAAGAAGACGCACCGCGGTGCTGGGCTCGAAGCGATGGTGGCAGGGTGGATGCTGGGCGACCAGAAGCCACCAGGAAGCGTATCTGCGCAAACTCTACGGCAGAAAGAACAACGACGGGGCAAGAAACGTCATCGGCGCTCAGAATGACGAGGACGCCGCGGCGCGATCCGGAGGCATCGACGCGCCCTGGACGACGACGCCCGGTATCGTTTACGATCTGCCGGGTACCGCCGACGAGCATTACCTGGACGCGTTTCTGAGAAATCGCGGTAACGATGGGACGAACGATGACGATGTCGACGACGTCGTCGTCGCCGCGGTGGTCGGCTGCTCGGCGTTGGCGACGTCGCGTGCCAGCCCGACGGAGAAGTGCGTGGAGTTTCTGAAGGGCGCCCATCACGACGGCGGGACCAGTTTCGATCGTCGTACCGCGGGAGACGCGGAATGCGGCCGTGTGGCCGCCGACTGCGGTTGTTCGGTGCATTCGGGCTACGACGTGGCCGCCGGTTGTTCGGAGTAAGTTTGCTGCCGCTTTGTGAAGAGAAATGTTGAATGTTCCCAAACGAATTTCTGCGGTCGCGTGACGCAAATCTTTCTCTATGGTTTTTCGAAAAAATTAAACGCGCGTTGCGCGTGCAAAAATACGTTCTGTATTTTTGAACATAAATTTGATTTTTTCGAAATCCTGTTGTAAGAAATAACAATCGATGTGTTTTTAAAAATACACAACACGATATTTTAATCCCCCTCAAAAATTGTGAGATCTTCTTGATACTGAAATATCGACATTTTTTTAATTCTGTTAAGAATCCATATGTCGTATATATATATATGTGACACGTTTTTTATTTTTATCAATTTATTTTGTCAGCTTTTGCGTGATTATGCGGAACGCAATTTCCCACTTAACAAGCTCAACCTGATTCGCGCTAGAAAACGGCATCTTTATAGCCTACAGCGCGCGAACCTTGTATTAATCAAAAATCGTTCCGTGATTGTGGTGGACGTTACATCGCGCGCGATCGTCTTCGCTCGAAGACGTTTCGATAAACTACTTACCGCTCACTGAACCAGAACATGTGGAACAGAGCACGCCCGATTTCCTTACATGCTCGAAGCGCAAAATTTTAAATTGAAACATGTCGATTTATTCAAGCGAAGAATGAGAGACTGTCGACAATTACGTGAAATAATTACTGTTCTATTTTGTCATCCATTGTGTTCCATTTCCCTCATTATGTCTAGTTTTTCCGATGCTATAGACATGTGCTTATTTACGCAGAACTATTGTATTTGAAATCCGATATGTGTGTGAATTGTGTCGCGTTTTTCTAATTTAATGGTTTCTCGGAATATTTTCGGATAAATTGGATTGGACACGAATCTCAAAGGTTGGACCTATAATTAGGAGATTTCAGGTTTTAACGCGCTCATGGGAAGAGATGTAGGTCTGTAATTTAATTCGGAAAAATGCAAGAACAAAGAAAACATAATTATGTGACTCTACAAGGATTTCGATGTTGCACTTTTTTTTGCAGCTATTTTTAGAAGAAAAAACTTCCATCGGTAAAATTTATATGAAAAGACGGAGTAGCGTCTCGATGTCATATTACCTTTAACTTTTATTAGCTTTAACTTTCAATAAAGAAAGGGCGCCAGAAGAAAGTGAAACTTTTCTGACAAGTACAATTAAAGAGATTAAAAGAGATTTAAATTTCAAATTAAATTGTTCTCACGGAAGATAAAATTTTTTCTTACAGAAAAGTGTGCAGAAGCTGCAGGTGTCCGCGAGAGGAGCATCAGCGAGCTTCGACGGAGGCGGGCGGTCCATCGGGACTCGGACTAGGCCCGGGTCCGCCGATGGCGATGGCCATGGCGTTCCCGGGCGGCGCCGGCGGCGCGCCTCATCAGGAACCGTTTAAAAGCCCGGTCCAAGCCGCGCCGGCCGGATTAGCGCTGCAGGAGGCCCTGATGCAACACCAACAGAGGCACTCGCAGAGCGACGACGATAGCGGCTGCGCGCTCGAAGAGTACACATGGGTGCCACCCGGGTTAAGGCCCGATCAGGTAAAGTGGAAAAAGTAAAGATTTATTGTACATTATACAATAATACACGTCTAAAGCACGTGTATCGTTCATAAATCTCTTGAAACATGAAAAATGCAGCGTCTTACAAATAGAAAGGGAAAATTATCGTTTTAGAAGAGAAAATTCCGCTGAACTCTTGATGCGAGTTTATTAATAAGCGGTTAAATTGGAATGTGACAAGCAAATGCGCGTAGAAAATAAACTTGAATTCATGAGAATCAAGAGTAATTCACTGTGCTGAGAGAAAAAAGAGAGAGAGAGAAGAAGAGACGGTAAGGCCTTTTTGTCTGTCGCGTACGCACCTAACGCGAGGGTGTTCCCGGCGATTCGTCTCGCCGGGGACGACCGGTAACCGCGACAAGCGCGGTCCGTAGATCGCCGCGACGATTACCATCGTGAACGACGACAGCGCAGTGAGTCATCAGACCGCGCGTCGGTGAAAGTTCTCGCCGGACACGATGATAAAGCGCAATCGAGAGCTTCACCCGAAAATGGGCACGGTTGAAGAATGCAAGAGGATGTAAAATGTATCAACCGCGCGTGATCATATTTTTCTTTTTTTCTTTTTTTTCTTTTTTTTTATATTCTATCTCTCTGTGTGTTCGCGGGAAAATAGGTTTCTAGATTTTGTAACGCTAAAGAAAGAAAACGACTGAAAAAAATTTCACATCCTCAAGCTTGTTAAAGTATTTATTGTTATTCGAATATGTTTGTTATTCTTTGAATTATTAGCGCGCGTGTTTTATTTTTGTTTGACACAAACAAATAACTTCATTAATTAATCCGCTCTGAGACAAAGTGTCGTGCAGCGTCAGAGACTCGCGATTTCATCTCTCGAATGTATTGACAAAAATTTAAGACACACGCATCTTCTCTCTCTCTCTCTCTCTCTCTCTTGCTTTCGTAAGACAAAAATATATCGGTAACTGGGATGGGGAGCAGAGCTATCGGAGGCGTTGAAAAAAAAAAACTAAAGCTACACACAGATGCATGTCAAATCAATCTTTCGTGTGGGTCGGCAGACTTTTGTCAACCGATGCGCATTAATGCGTCACGACACGGCGACGCATGTCGCATCGCGGATTACGTCAAATTCAAATTCTACAACGATGTAAAACGGATTGTACAAACGAGTTCCCGATTCGTTCGTCTCTTCTTCTTTATCAGCACGTACTTTAGCTGCGACACTGATCCTTCTACCTGTTATCTCGCAGTGTCTTTCACAGTTCATCATCTCACACAGCTACTGCGAACGCGAAATCTTTTTTTTTTTTTTTTTTTTTTTAACATCAAGTAGCTCTTCTGAAATTATCAGTGTCGTGAAAATTAGTGCGATTTTGTTTTTTTTTACAATAATTTGTATTTACATCATCGCGTAGAGTCACGAGTGTTATTTTTCTTCAAGATCATTTCTCGCGCATCTCTCTCGAAAAACGAAATCATTTTATTTAATTAAACGCACGGTAATGATAAATTGTTAAACGTTAGAATTCTTCTCGTCGAAGAGGAAGGGGCTAACTAACGTGCTCGCGTCGTCCCTTTAATTGGTTTAAGCGGGAGCGTTTTGCGCCGGCACGCCGTGAAATAGAGTTCTCGGTTTGCCGTTCGTGCCGCGTGCGAATATCGTCGTTTATTTCGCGACTTCGCGGCGTGGCGGCGAGCAAATCCTCATCTTTCTATCTTTCTCTGTCTTCTTATTCACCTTCTCGCTTTTATTTCCCGCTTTCTCGCCTCGTCCGCAGCCTGTCCCAGCAACGTTCGTCCGCGCGTTTTCTTTACTCATTTTAAGTGTCATTACGTCTAACGCGCATTATATATTATGACTCGGCGTTCTCGGCGAGGAGAGACGGTAATCCCGCGCAACAAGCTTTTCGCGCTCTCGAGCCACCCCGCGCGCATCAATTCGCGTCTTCGCGCGAAGATCTCGAGTGTTCTCCCGAAACTCAACAGTTTGCTGAGACTGTACTGTACATATCCTGTGCATTCATAAAAACTGACAGACCTTGGAGCGCGATTGACTTGTGTGGTTTTTTTTTTGTTTTGTACAAATCGAACGGTACATCGACACACTCTGGTTTAGAAGAATCGGTTAATCTACGTGCTATTATGTAAAACATCTGGAGTTTTTTTTTTTTTTTTTTTGTACCACACGTAATGATTAATTGTGCAATTAACAATTTTTGCGAAGGACATCAATTTCTTTTGCGGCGGCGCGCGGAGCGCAAGAGAAATCTCGTGTGCGCGAGATTTGCGCGTGAAGCGTTTAATAGCTCGCGCGGAACATCGATGCTTATTGCTGCTCGTAAACCGGCGCAAGGCGTAGCGCAAAGAAATTTACCGCTAGATTGTGTTAGAAACTCGATTATGCGTAAATGTGCCGATGGCTATTGAGCGAAACCGCGCGCGCGCGCGCGCGCGCAATTTCACTCTTTCGCACAGGCATGTATTCTTATGAAAATAGTCGCGATAACAGAATCTCTTTCAAGCTGTGTGTGTGCGTGTGTGTCGTGAGAATACTGAATACCGCGTATTTTTTTATAGCTTTTATATTTCGCGCCCACACTTTTCTTATTTTCTCCATCGTCGTCGGGGACTCGTCCTGTAGCAAGTTTTTCAGCAATATAAACGCCAGTCAGTGTTTTCTTTCGAAAACTCGTTTCTTCGGCATGTTGACAGTACTCATTCTGATACTTATCTAAATTTGCGACGGTCAGGGCGAGTTTCAACGGCCATCGGTTAACGTCAGCTGCAGCGGTTGACACTAAATTCTTTTCCCCTCTCTATATTACAACCGGTACGACGGATGAAGACATGAAAAAAAAAAAAAAAAAAACAATCAGTTACGAACTGATCTAAAACCTTAGACGTCAGTTGTTTGATCAAAGTCGGTGTAGTTGATATCTTGTTTTTCCATATGTGGAAAAACGTGTGTGTGGTAACGTGAAAAATTAAATGACGCGCGACTTATCAATTATAGAATTGACATTACAATTATCTTCGTATTAAAAAAAAAAAAAAAATTCTTACAAAAAGTGTCACAAAAGGAAAAGTGTTGCTCTTCGAAATACTCGTGCGAATATCATATGGGTTGGTAACTCGGAGAGAGCCGTTAGAGAGAATTTCCTTAATATCCGTAATATGCTTGAGTGCGGTAAAGTCCCACGTTTGACGTAAAGTAACCACAGGTTGTGTCGTCGCAATTTTCACGATAGACTCGCATTATTATTATTTCGCACACGTGACTTGGATGATTGATGCTCACGGCGGTGCGAAACGTGTTATCGCGAATTCCTATTCCTATTTTCACCTCCGGATTCACGAATTTGAATTCCGCGCTTTGGCTTGTTTTGCAGGTGCATTTGTACTTCAGCGCGCTGCCGGAGGACAAGATCCCGTACGCGGGTAGCGCCGGCGAGCGAGAGCGTGTCAGGCAGCTGCTTCAGCAGCTACCGCCGCACGACAACGAGGCGCGATACTGCAGCGGCCTGTCCGAGGAGGAAAAACGCGAATTGCGGGTGTTCGCGGCGCAACGGAAACGCGAAGCGCTCGGACGTGGACACGCGAGCCAGCTCGAGCGGCCGCACGGCGCCGGTTGCCGCGAGTGCGGACGCGCAATTGCGGCCGGCGAGATGGCTGTTGCGGCGAGTCGGGCGGGCCCGGCCGCGCTCTGGCATCCCGCCTGCTTTGTCTGCTGCGTGTGCCGCCAGCTGCTGGTCGATCTAATCTACTTTTGGCGGGACGGCAGGCTCTACTGCGGTCGTCACCACGCCGAAACCCTTAAACCCCGGTGCTGCGCTTGCGACGAGATCATCCTCGCCGACGAGTGCACCGAGGCGGAGGGCAAGGCCTGGCATATGCGGCACTTTGCCTGTCTCGAGTGTGATCGACAGGTGAGAATGCTCAGATCAGTGCGATGATAATGACGATGATAATGCACAATGAACGATTTGCATTCGACGAGCATAATGTAAATGAAATGAGAATCCGAAAGAATATATCACACAGTTGTCGGAAGAAAAGGGAATAAGACTGTTGACATACTTTTTCTTTTTATTGTTAATTTTTATTAATTAACACGCGGAAATTCTTTCAGTAACGAGTTATGGAAATATTTACGCACGATTGCAAATGTGGTGGATGCGCACGTAAATGCAGTTTGACGACGGTTGTACGTCGGTTCTCTTTGCACGAAGACGAAAGTGGCAATGAGAGAAGCAGGTTTATATATTTGTAAACCGTGAAAAAAATATGACTTCTTTTACGGAACGCGAGTTCTCTTCTCGCCGCGACGAATTGGTTCAAGTTAACGGTATTCGCACGATTGTACTACATCGGAAACGCGCGCCGCCGTCGCGGAGTTACTAATGATTACGTTCGCTATCAAATTTACAGCTGCGTAGCAATTCATAATCCCGCGCCAGCTGACTCTATCTCCAGATATGTCTTCCGACTTAGATAGCGCGCTCACGAGCGCACAGAAGCAACATGCTTTCCGCGTTACTCACGTTACATCGGGTGTTCACCGCGGTGTGAACTTATGAATAGATGCATCTGAAGAAGAAAACTTGGAAAAAAAAAATTCAAGACGGCGAGCAACTTTGTCTTAAATCTGTCTGAATGTGTAATTTCATTAATTAACAACGAAAAATACATACATTTTGCTAGCTTAAAAAATGTAAACTAACATAACACTACGTTGCGGACACAAGTGAAGCGCGAAGAGTCCAAGAACCTGCATCTTATCAGATTGCTGCTGTGTGTAAAGTACATGCTCCAGTGAATAACCGGTCACCGTGGTATTCTGCCATTATCGCTAAAGTCACGCCCGTTTCTCTTACATTGAAATATCACACCTATATTTTGTCAAAACTTAAAAACTAGACATATATTATCGCGTTATAAAACTTATACATTATTGGATAGAGTAATAAAATACTGCTTTGTGTTCTTCCGCTGCTCTTTCGTTTTCCAATTTCCGTTTTTTTTATCTGTAAACAATGTATCCAACTCTCGTCGCGGCGAGTTGCGATTGTAATCGTCTCTCCCGCGATTGACGTCCTGTACAATAAATTCACACGACCCACCCGTTCTTTTGCCCGCAGCTCGGTGGCCAGCGGTACGTGATGAGAGAAGGCCGGCCGTACTGTCTTCGGTGCTTCGACGCCTCCTTCGCCGAGTACTGCGACAGCTGTGGCGAGCCGATCGGCGTCGACCAGGGCCAAATGTCGCACGAGGGTCAGCACTGGCACGCGACCGAGGCCTGTTTCTGCTGCGCGACCTGCCGCGCCTCCCTCCTGGGTCGGCCGTTCCTGCCGCGACGTGGTGCCATTTACTGCAGCATAGCGTGCAGCAAGGGGGAACCGCCGACGACACCGAGCGACTCCTCCGCCGGGCCGCCGCCGCCCCCGCCGTCTTTTCTCAGGTGAGCACTGCTTCGTCGCATACCTTCTCGCCAAGGTAGAGGTCACGAGGATTGCTCTGGCAATATCCTACCTACCGGCGGCTGCGAAGCGACGCGGAGACCGTGCCGGATTCGTGCGCAAAAATTTATAGCTGTCGGAACGTCCCGCGATTACGTACGAGCGCTGCGCTGCTCCCGACTAGCGCCGCACTTCGATGAATTATTACGGTAGCGATAAATTACTAATGTGGCTTTGCCAACTAACTCATTTCCTGCTAAGAGCAGTAGCAGAAAGAGACGAAAGAGACGATTAAAAACTTGAGATTAAAGTTTGCACGCGTTAGCAAAAAAACTCACCCTTAAAGTTTATGTTTTATCTCAAATGTTTAATAATCTGGAAGAAGGACGATTACATATTTTAAGAAATAGAATTATATTTAATTATAAAACTATAATTTTATTTTATTGTGCGTCTTAAGTTCTCTCTGAGTGCTTTTATTACGAGGCTTACTGCAGCTATATCGATTATGCGTAATTCGGACGAAGTGAGCCTTTAATAAAAGTTTGAGCATTTTCGTTACGAAACTGATATGTAAATTTTATTACGGCTCGAGCAGTGTTTCGTTCTACAGGTGTAACTGAGCTGCTGATATTATTGCTAATAAAAATCAGTGATGCGTGTTGAATTATTTGTGCCCCGAGCGCTTGTTAGAGTGTTGTTTATTATATATCGGCACTTTGCGTCGTTGAATTTAAATTTGGCTTATATCCATAGGCGATTTTCATTTATGGAAGCGCGTGTGTAAAGAAGTATTGAATACTATAAATTTTAGTATCTTTTAATTGCAGGTTTTTAGCATGCGCGAATGTAAATATTATTATTATGCAAATATTTTGAACTCCGTAACAAAAAATAATTAGCACCATTTCGTTTCGTCCGACAAAAACATTTCAGCAATTTTTATTTCTCTGATAAATTAACGTTACATTTTGAATAATTGCGAAACGCCAATGAGACGGATAAAAAAATACGTTAAATTTATTATAATTATTTATTCTGTCTAAATAAAATTAGCGTCTGTGATATGATGATTTCTTGTTTACACAAGGAGCGGCAGAAGGCAAACGGTGGCCACAAGCGAGGGTTCGTCTAGTCCACCTCCTCCACCTCCACCTCCGCTTCCTCCGGGCTCGAGGCATACTCTCGGATCTCCAAGAAATTCGCCTCGAATGACAAGAAGGCACCAACAAGTTTCTGCTTCCTTGGCGACGACACCGACCCAGAACACTTTGAATCCCGAGTTTGGCACGGAAAGTCTCACCTCCAGCGGATCTAGACCGAGCGGCCTAGACAGAGTGCTTCTCGAGCGAAATCTTGAGAGATTGCTGCAAGAACGCGGATCTCATTCTGACGAAAATCGCGGCGAATTAGGAAGGTACGTTAACCAGCTGTTATTGCACACACATCTCTGTCAAAAGTTCTGATTAATTTCATACACGCTAATTTCTCATCTGTTGCAAATCGTATGTATTGTTAGACTGATGCAAGCGCGGGATCGAGAACCTCTTAGATGCGTGCAAACCAACACGCCTTCTCATGCGTCGAGTATGCCGGAGTTGCCGCCACCGCGACCATCTTCCGGAGCGTCAGCGTCGATGTCGATATCGACCGGTGGCGTGGCGGCTCCCGGCGGTATGTTGACGGAAGAGGCGACGACGTCGCCGGTCAATCCCGGACTCGGAACCAGTCAGACGGATCCGCCGACGCCGACGTCGCGACGCGTGCGATTCCAGGGGGATTTGGATGTCAACGACCACGGCGCAACGTCGCGCATTCCCCTTTCGCCATCGAACGACCACAACTCATCGTCATCGTCTTCTCCACCGCCGGTCTCGCTATCGAAGACGAACGTGTCTCGATCGAGAAGTCTACAGTCCGACGAAGCCGCCAGCACGTCCGCTTGGGGTACGTAGAGTATTAATTTTATGTAAACAAAAGTTTGCGCGCATATGGGAGCGTTTTTATTTAAGTTCATACTAAAAGAAGTGCCATTGTACGTTTGTCTTTTCAGGAATAGCGAGTACGTCTAGATCGAGAATGGACGGCGAAGACGACGACATCGAGAGCTGTTGTTCGACGTGCAGCTCGTCCAGTAGCTCGGACGAGGCCGCTGCTTACGCGCTGCCTCCTCGAAGAGCTTACGGCGGCGTCAGGATCTCTTACGTGCCGAACGACGCGGTGGCGTGCGCGCGAAAACGCACTCCAGCGTCCACGTCATCGTCCAATCAAGCTCAGCGGGACACCGAAAAGTGCGTCATATCTTGATGACTCCTCCGATGCTCTATGAGTTTTTGTATCGCTTTGTCGTCATGAGTATTAAAAGAGTAAATAAAGGGAGAAACACAAACGGGAAACAGAGTTCCTACAAAAACGGACGTATGTCATTCGATGTCTTTCGAAGCGCCTGCGACATCGCAGCACGTCTCGCACGCGTGAAGCATGCGCGCATATTGTGTTTCCTGTTGAACGGCACATGGACACGTTCGTGCGACAACGTGTAAAAACGAAATACTCATTTTATTATTATCGTGTAAATATTTCGAGCTCTCTTCCGGGACGATTGTAACGCGTCATCTCGTTTCGGCTAGTGCGCCCGTCCCTCTATTTTTAATACCCCATTAATGTATTTGATGATAATAAAAAAAAAAAACGATGATGATAATAAAACCTGCGTGTATCGCTCATGTCATTGATTACCCATTGCGAAAGTACGATGAAAGCAACGGCGCGCATTACTATTACCAATAGGTAACAGCCGTAATAACTCTTGTCTTCTTTCTCCGCAGTCGATTATTTGCGTGCAAGACCGACGCTGTTTAGCATGAGTGTGCCTTCTGATTATACGCTATTATCCTCTCGAGGCTATAGTTCAATTGCTTATCGCTTGCCTGTGCGATGATTCGATAATCGCTTTTGTTAAAGGATCGTTTCTCCAACGTGATGAGATGAAAATTTCTTAAAGTAACGGCGACTGTGTGTTGCAAATGAAAAATACAAAAACAAACTTTACGGTTTTTCTTACAATTAATTTGTTTCTCCTGGTGATTAAATAATATTTTTTTGTTTATTCATCAGTCTTATGAACTGTTACTGCATAAATATATAATTGACATTTACTCCTGTTACCAAATAACAATTTTTGTCCAATTTTTTTAATTTAACAATATAAAAAGCAAACGCTCTTAATTTATTACGAAACGCGATTACAAATAATACGAATTATTTTTATCTAAATTTTCGATGCGGAAATCGGCTGTGGTTTTGTGCGTTTTACTCGCAAGAAATTCACGAGCAGGTGAGAACTCGAGGATGTACATGAGTTCGTCGGATCTCGGTCTAGTCGAACAAATTGACCGTCCGCTTTCATATTTATTAAACGCGCGCGGTATGGAAATATTCAAGTAAAAGCGGCGAGACAAGAGCGAAAATTGAAATTTACGGTCGAGCGGCGAAAAGAGCGAAAGCCAGTAGCCACTCTTAGGGACAATCACTCGCGGCATGTTCGTGGAAGGTATTCGATGCTTTCTCTCATCCGGCGAGAACACATTACTACACGTTCCCGAGACGATATTGCATCTGACGGCATGTCAGATTAGCCATTAGCCCTCTCTTTTTCAAACTTTTCACTCTTTGATCTCTTCGCATCTCTCTTTCGAACGATAATCATTAGCATACGCGCATCTACAATCGTGCGCGGTTGATACATTACCTAGCCGACGAGGACGGCTTGAGAAATGTCTGCCTCGTTTGTTTGTTGAAAGACAGAAACATTTGAGACGCGCGATCAGATAAGTCGGATCTTCGATTAAGATGTAGCAACCTTGACTTGCGTGGGTCTGGAACAGGTGAATGCTGCTCACGTTTGACCTATCACAATTCTTCTCAACAACTTGTTTCTTTTTTTTTTTTTTTTTTTTTTACAAATTGATTGTATTTTCAAAAATTGTTTGAAGATAATATTTTACGTAATCTATGAAAAAAGAGAGAGAGAGAAAAGGATAGAGAAACAGAATAAAGAACTACGAGCAAATAACAAAACAATTAGCGTAAAATAAGTCTACGGATAAAATTCGCGTTTCACAACAGAAAAAGGTACAAATAAATACTATCTATCAGCAATAAACAGAATTTTTTTAACGCATGAGCACAACTACGAGCGCATGTAGGAAGTGCGATGCAATCGTGAGGAGAACGTTGGAGGATCTAATCAGACATCTCTCTTGACGCGCCTTTCTTTCCGTGCCACGAAAATTGAAATCGCTATGTGTGTGCGTGAACTAGGCCGTGATTGCGCAACCGCACGGTAAAGCGTGATTTCCGAGTCGGTAGCCGCCCGATAATTATCGCGTCCGAAAGAGAATGCACACTTTTATACACAACATTCTGTCATTTCTTATCTCGATAAATTTACAGTTCCGCGAGTTATCGGAGAAACGGCAACGGCATAAACGATCGCAGAGTTGTTGCATTTGCAATGCGTTGTTAAACCGTCGCGACACGGCAATTTGCACTCAAATCCAGAGAGAAACTGAAATCTTTATTAAGTATGCGTGTGTGTGTGTGTGTGTGTGTGTGCAAATTAAAATTGAACTCTCTCTCTCTCTCTCTCTTGCGGAAAAAGTCAGAGAAAACAAAAGAGTACATTTATATAACACATGGATATGCACAAAGTTGTTCTAGTTCTCTTTCCTTTGAAAGTAGAAACACATTTGTAAATGTGTTTCTACTTTTTAGAAAAAAGTTTCTTTTAAGAAACTTTTTAGAAATAAAAAAAAAAAAACAAAACAACAAGATTCAAGAAAAGACAGTTAAAAACTGCAAATTATATTCTGAAATGTTGTTACGTATTTCTGGATAAAATCACTGTGTAAAAACAAAAAATGTCTATTACAATAATCTGTCCATTCACCGCGCGACGCAATAGGCTACTCGTTACGATGATCGATGGTAAACGTGTCGGTGCCTCCGCGATCCGCATCACTCTGCCTGGCGTGTATTCGCGATTGATCGATGACACGTAATATGGTCGCAGTTCGTAAGTTGTTATGATCGGCTAGCGAAAGAACGAGACAAATGCCGATTGTAGGAGCCGGAGGGGGCGAGAGAGAGTCACGGGGAAACGACGGATAGGAAGGACGACGTGCCTCCGCGATTCTCCTCGAGGCCGACCAAGGGAGAGGCCGCATTCCGAACCGTGCTCGGGAGAAAGCCCCTCGTGTTTAAAGCCGCGGGACGACAAGCGAGGAGCCTTTGGAGGTCGGGAACGAACAAACTTCTCTCTCCTGCGTGTCCGTTACGTCGAGCGTTTCATCGTCTTGTCAACGTAATTTCTCGTCAATCAGGAATGCAACACGCAGTTATTTATTTTGCCAACAAATTGCCGTCGATGCTTCGAGGTAATAAAATTTTTGAGCTTGGGAGTTGTCGTGGCATATTTAATCTTCTTGTAATTCTAAATAAAATTCACGTTTAGAATATAATAGTTGCAATATCTGCTGAATTTTACTTTAATATTTGTTATTTAAAGTTTTCATTTGTAATAATTGTATATTTTCTCGATAATATATATTTTTATTGATATGTAATGTCAAATCTATTGCCAGATATCTACATATAGATGTTGTTCAATAATAAATATGTTTAATAATAAATATCTTGCCAGCGATAGGAGGGTCCAGGCTATAATCTCGATGTGGAATTCACAATTTTGAGATTTCCAGTTTGAAAATCCCAATATTTTTTTCTATTTTTCAGGGTTGAGGTAGTTTCCTCACTACCAACAGACTGAGTATAAGTTGGAGGACATAAGGAGGTCCCTTACAGCAGCCTATTCCGCAGAGAGAGAATATTATTCTATATGTTAATCTATTTTTTGTATTTTGTAATCTGTTTTAATCGTATTTTCTATCTGCCATTTTGCGTCTTCGAACTGCTGACTGAAAGTGATTTTCACGAAAAATATCTCCAAGTATCTCGATAGAGATGGCCCTCTTCCCCCAATACAAGGGTGTTTCAGATTTTAAGTCCTAGTGATAATATTTTCTGCAACGATGTTTTTTTTACAAGTCAGCGGTAAGATTTATTAACTATCGAGTTATTCACGCAGATAAATTCGGAGGCACGGGCAAAATAAGGTACGTTCTGTAGCTCGTTCACCGTCAGACACACCCTTCTCGCAGGGTATTATTATTATCCGTTGAGAATACTTGACTGAACAAGTGTCTGTAAGTGTCTACAATGCGCGTTCCGTAATATGAATATACAAAAAGTCCCTTTGAAGACGTCATGTTGAATAACTTCCGCGATAGTTCTCGCAGTTATGTATCTAGAATCTATGTTTATTTTGTTTACTCTGTCTAAACAAACTCTTTTTTATTTAATATACACTTTTTTTAAATAGCCCCATCATTCACCGATTTCTGCTTTCGCCTCGGTGAAGGCCGTAAAAACGGCCGAAGGTTGCGCGTCTCGCGAAGAAGCTCCGTGCGGTGCGGAGATGCGAGACAATGCGCGCTATCTCTCTCTCTCTCTCTGTCTCTCTCGTCCCACTGCCTACTTTTCATTCCGATCTCCCGGCGATCGGCATTGCCAGTAAGGAGTGACGCCGTACGGGTAAATACGAGAGCGGGCGCACACCTGCGTACACCTGTGCGTATCGGTCCAATCGCCTGTCTAATTGGATATAACGATATTGGGATTGGAGCACCGCTAAACGGTACTCGCGGTCCGCTATTTTATTGCCGATGTATGTATACACACGTATCGGGGTTATGGCATTCCTCGACAATTTTGCGCCTCTGAAAAAAAAGAAGAGGACAGAAAGCCGAGATCGAGGATGGCACGCCGCGATTCAATATTACGCAGCAAAGTGTGATAATACTCGTTTTGCATTCCGATCGGTTGGCGATCGGTGCCGCGCGCGCGCGCGCGAACTGCCTCTCGAGCGCATACCAACGTTCGACTACGCAATGGCTGAATGAAAGCTTGACTCGAAAAATTCGCTTACTCGAGAAGAAACGTCAAACACGATAAGTCAGTACGCGAGCCAAAGCACGTTTGGCTTTCGAACACCGCCGCCTGAGGATATTTTGGATCCGCGCGTGGATAACAATCGAAATCGCTAACTTCGGAAATCGCCAAGTACGGATTGCGAAGAACAATCTTCTGAATCTCTCACGGAATTTTCTGCGCGATCTTGCACACGATATTGCGCAATGTAAATTTGTTATTCGCGATCGAAATTCAGATCGCGAACATAATTGCCGATTTGAAGGTCTGATTTCGCGGTGCCGCGCGTGAATACTACGGCGCGATTTACCAACCTCTAACGCGAAACACTTGCATCTGATGTGAGATGCGACTCTCTCGCGAGAATTGCGTAACGCGAGTTTTATTTACGCAACGTGCCGTTTTCAAGGTAACTCGGGATTATGAAAATAGCGCAGCGCAATTTTCATTTATAAACATATTTTGCAAATAAGACACATTTGTCATTTTCATATACATATATTTAAAAAAAAAAATATCATAATTTAATAGATTAAATGTTTTAGTGAAAAAGACACGCACACCATGTATTTTATATTTTTATATAACAAACAAGTTACATAATAGTTTGTTGTATCAGCGATGCTATGTTGCACTATATAAATAATTAAATCCGGTTTATTTCTTCGGATGTTTATGATTTATCCGGAGAATAAAAAAAACTAGGATACATATTTCTCTATTTCTCAGTTATGTTTAGATTATAAACTTTCGCGATGTTGTCACCATCGGTCGTACTACATCTCGTTGGTTGTTTTACAACATATGTTGTTTTTCTTTCGATGCATATTACGCAATCTAAATTCCTAGGGAAACTAGTCACATGTTGCGAAATTGTTTATTCGCATTTAATTCATATTACTTGATCCGAACACCGGAACAGTTCACAACCTTCACGCCACATTGATAAATATCTCTCTCTCAGAGAAATCTTCTCTCATATATTTTAACTCTGACGTATGACATACAACTTTTTTGTTTCATCTTCTTAACTTTCTTTCAGAATCGTACGAAAAAAAAAAATTAATTATTCTTTGTCGCGATTTTTTTTTATCGAGAATAAAAATCTACACATAAATTTACATTTATTTGTTGTTATTTATTTGACATTTTTATTTAACAAGCAACACACATCTGTGACTGCTGCTTTTTTATTTCGTGTTTTTTTATTTGACACGCGAAGAAAAAGATTAATATCTACTTCGACACTTTTTTGCGTCATGGACGTTCTCTTTTATTTGTATCGTCCTTATTTTTTGCAAGCGCGCAATTGAAAACACGCTTTTTACGCGTTCACCAACAGAGAGATTTGCGAGTTGATTTGCTCGAGTTTTTTGCGGTTTGAGCCGCAGCACATGCTTCCTCAGGCAACAGATATCGAATTTTATTGTACTATCGGCGCGTAAAGATCCGGAGACACGAACTATTCTTCGATCTCGGCGTAATTCATCCCGCAGTTTTCAAGCTTCGCGCTCTCTCGCTCGCACGCGGAGAAGACGGGTGTTCGAGCGAGTTCTCCAGCAGGCGCGAGAGGTGAGACGAAAGGGACAGGCGACCAGGTAAGAAAGCAGGCAAGCGAGTCTTCGGCCAAGGAGGTGGGAGAAAAAGGTAGTAGTAGTGGAGGAGAGCGTAAAGTGAGTTTTCGCTTGCGGCGTTCGTTCGTTCGTTCGCTCGCTCGCTCGCTCGCTCGTACGTACAAGCGACGAGTTCGTCGTCAGTCGACTACGCGATTTCGCGGTGCTCGTATCTTGCGTCTTCGCAAAGTAGTGCGCTACCTGTCGATCATCTCGCGATCGCGCGACAACGATCAGTCTCCTGCGGTCGTGTTTTAACGCAAGCATCCGGTCGGCCCCTGGCAAAATGGCCGCGCGCTGAGGAGAGTTCACCGAGTTGTATCTCTCTACGATCGCGACTTCTTCGACGCTCACTTGGTGTTGTTCGCGTTTAAAAGGGGTTTATACTCGACGATGATGTCGACACGGGGACGCCTCGGATAGAACCGTAAGAAGACACCGAGGAAGACACCAGAGAACTCGATCCAAGGTAACGTGGATCTCAATTTTCACTTATAAACTTTGGATGTGCGTATATGCAATTGAAAAAAAAATTTAAAATTTGTATGAATAATACTTCGAGACTTCGGTTCTGAATGAAAAGGCGCAGCGCGCGCCGAGAGATAACATCTCGTCGACGAGGTCGACGGCATCCACCATCGCTTGTTACGTTCTTCAAGGAGGAATGTATGTTGATGTTAGGTAGTCGCCGGAGCGCGTCAAACATGACGCAAATGTGAACAATAGGAATTGATTGTGTGTGTGTGTGTGTGTACTGTTATTTTTTAACAAGAACTAATTGTTAGTTTCTTCATTTTTTTCTTTCAAATAGCGCCTTTGATTTGTTAAATAAGTACCAAAATATTCATCAGATGACGTTAAGGAAGAAACAGAGGCCGTTTGCTGTAACCATGATCGTTGAAGTCTCCAATACTTACTTGTGGATTGAAAAGAAAACAATCGTCACGGCTTTTACTTAGTTAATGTATTAAGCATAAATCGAAGATAAATCAACGGGTAATGTGGAACCAATCGAATTGGTCGCACTCCAATTGTCTACTTCTTTAATGGCGAATCCCGCGTCGCGGATGTGCAGTCTATTACTCGCGAAAGAACACGCGCGCATACACTGCCGTTCTATTCAGCTCCGCGTGTCGTAACAATCTCAAGTTTTGTTTATTTCGAAAGAAAACGGCGCCCCGTCAACAAGAACGGGATGTTAATGAGCGTTCGACGACGCTCGCTGGAATGTTCGCTTTCCATAATACGTCGCCGCAGCGACGTTCTCCATAAACGTCTCCCCTACGTCGTTGCGCCTCCTTTCCCGTGTACGTGTATGCACGTATATAGTACCTCCTCTCGCGCGAGATAACATCGCGCCGGTCCAGGTACGAGTTGCAAACGCGTACGAAGTGCAAACGAGTGCGATCGACAGGAACGCCCGACCGGCCAAGGCCGCTCGCGGAATATATCGTTAGATCGTTCGATATCGGCGTCGACAATCGGCGTCGCGTAGTCTGTTCTTTTTCAGAACAGTCTCGTCTTTTCCAAGGGTAGCTATTACCACGTGACTTTTCGGAAATCAATTCCGATCGGAACGATATCGATTGCGTCGAACGATCGATTTGCGTCGTTTTTTCTCTTTTCCTTCGAAGGAGAAAAAAAAAGAAAAGTGACAAATGTCGGAGTCATTTCGAAAAGTTACATCACAGTTATTCCAATAATGTAGTCGTAAACGTGTGACGATTTATCACAGGCAGAAGTTTTTACTTCTGTCTATTTACGTGCGATGTGCATCTAACGCGCATCGCAGCGCTCGACATTAATTCATAAGCAATTAAGCTGTAAATCTCCGCAGTTGCTAAACTGCTGTTAGAATTTGCAAAAAAGGTTCTCACGGACGGATTAATCTGCGCCGCCGGTCAGACAATGGCAAATGCGTCCCGCCGAATCCCAGCAGTGTTTCGCGACTAGAACGAAGGACACCTGGCGCTTCCGGCGTCGTGACGGCTTCCGTGTTCTTTTCTTCTCACCTCTGCCTTCGCCGACGTGTACATACCGCACGTTAGTTAAGTAAGCTGGCGCTGGCGCATTAGTGAGAACGGGAAGTCAACGAGATCAACGGCATCGCGCGTTCGCCGAGAATGCCAGCTTTATTTTCCAGAAAGTAACGAAGGGGAACCACGTACGTTGCAATCTTAAACTCCCGTCTTTCATTGCTTCGTCGTGAAACACACGCGCGAACTGATGTATCAATGAGAACAATCGCCTTCCCTCTCCCACGATTTTCAAGCGTCACCTTCAGAGCAGACAGTGACGGATTTGTATTCTGTCAGAACCTTCGAGGAATCGTCTCCCCCGTGCGATTTAAATGCATCCGCACGTTTTCAATTAGTATATTTTTTACACAAGTTTCTTTTCATTTCAGACTATATATGTTTTGACTATCTGACTTGTTTTCAATCAACGTCGTTAGATTACACATTTGTATGCTGAAGAGATTAATACAAACTGAAAAAAAAAAAAAAAAAAAAAAAAAAAAAAACAAGTTGGACGTTCTGCCAACGCGCCGAAGTAGATCGTGTCCTTGACTAAAGTCGTTTATCCTTTCTAATATCTACGTTGGATATGTATATACATATTTAAAAATGAATTTTTGGTGACTAATCGGATTCGCGTGCGTCAGTCTGAATGTTTTTGTGCATTAGTCAACTTATTTAGAAGAGTTAAGTTTAAATGGTTACCTCAGATCCTATATTATATATATATATATATATA